ATGCAATTCAATAGAAAAATGTATCAATAAACCTCAGTTATCAACATCATCAAAGTAGTTACTAAAAAAAGGCACTTGTGTTGCCAACACCAGAGAACAGTGGAAAGCATTACCTTCACTGCATATAACTTCCCATCTTCAATGTTTCGGTATAGAACCTTTTTAGAAGCAAAGAGAAACGGAAAGGAATCAGCTAGCTACTCAGTGAAGTTCATTAATAGCACATTTAAGTGGTCTTACCACTTTGCCATAGCTTCCAGCACCGATCTTGCCCAGGTGAACATACTGATTGATCATCTTATTGCCAAGATCGTCCTAACATGCCAAAAGGAGGAAGTTATTATACAGCTCAGTGCAAAAGCTAAATGCTCTCGCGCAGCTCCTCGACTCTTCACTAGACATGCAACGGCCATGGCATAGCAAAAAAAAACTTGGTCACGGTCTTAGATCACCGGTCAGAACAGTGGTCACCAAATACACTGAGTTTAAAATAATAGAGTATATATTTTACATGAATGTTACAGATTAGTTCCAGCGGAGCACATGTAGTATTACTTATGCTTGCTTAGAACACATTAGTGCTAAAACTAGGTCAATTATCGATCGTTGTCAATAAGAGGATTAATGGCTAGCCATTCCAAACAAAAAGAAAATAAGAATCATAGCCAGACAGTGTATTAGGTGTGTTGTTTTGTACTAGCAGATGACAGTTAAAACTATTGGCCCTCACAGAGGCGTTTGATTAAACTTTGCGTGTGGTAGACTTCAACAAAGTCCAACAAGATCAATTCACTTGAGGGCCATGGCCAGTTTAACCAAGTTAAATTCAGTTCAATCGAGGCAATTTGCATAAATGATCCAATCGAGGCAATTTGCATAGAAGAGCCATCTTTGCATGTTTTATGGTAAAATTGCTAACAGAATCTGGTTTCCATAATTATGGACCATGCAACACTATAAGATGTATAAATACAAAAATAAATGCAAACATAATATGTATCTACATTTTGGGTAACAGAGGAAGATGCATCTTCGTTTTCCAAAGATTTTTGAAAATTCTTAGGGTAACTCCTGTAACTGGTTTTGGTTCTTCATATTGGAAAGCAATATAAGAGTCCATTTATAATCTTAACATCGTCAGACAAATAATCAACACAATCATGAAGTGACGAGCAAAAACAGGCATAATAACTCATTAATTCTGAAAACGAAGCAAACCGCAAGTAAAAGGAAAGAGAGAGTACTTCTATTTCTCAACAAGTAATAGAAATTGAACTGGCTCGTGCATAGACTTTTAAGTGTTGCCTAGACAGATTTTTTTTTCGATAGACGCGAGTAGAAGATACTGGTAGAAATTGATGTCTAACAAGATGGTACCTCTGAGCGAACAACTTTTTTAGTCTCCTTAACTAGGCTTTCTCTACATGCAAAGCCACTTTGAGCCCTTGTCAGAATAATATCTTCAGACCTCTTCCGTGGGGGCTCATCGTCACTCTCATGGTTATAATCAGTACCATCTCTTTCATAGAAACTTCTATCGGGATCATCACCGTTAAAGAAGCTTCTATCAATGCCATCCCCATTGTAAAAGCTTAAGTCAGGATCATCTCCAGTGTAGAAGCTCCCATCAAAATCTTCACTGGTCTGGCGCTTCAACAAATCTTTGGACAACATGCCATCAGTGTCCCGAGGCCGACCTACCTTCACGCTGGGCTTCCTTAGGAAACTGAAACAGCTGCAGCAGCCCATGTCCGTGAGGTCTGCCATTCAGAGGGAGCCGCGCACCAGAAATCCTGGATGAAGAAAACAGGAG